ATATATATATATATATATATATATATATATATATATATATATATATATATATAATCATTTCATCTTGTAGTGTACTAAATATATTACATCCAAGCTAATATTTAAGGATTTGTGTGAATTCTGGAGCACTTTTTATATGGGTAGTTTGGGGGTGTTTCTCCCTTGTATAACACCGGAGACCTGCTCGCGCAGAAGTCACATTTATCTGCTAAAATTAACCCGACCAAGCAACGTTACGCAGGTGGCGCATAGTGTAAACGTCTGTTTTTCCTCAGATTTCTCTTTTGAAACTTTTTGTTATTGCAACTTTCATAAGTCTCTAATGAAACAGACGCTGCAGGTTAAACATATGTGTGCAAGCCAGCATATGCAAATGTTTAACACTTGGACGTTAGCAATGCGGCTAGCTAACTGTAGCGGAGCCGCTCCGTTCAGCACTCATAAGTAGTTTGCTGAGTAATAATTAGCTTGTGACTTTTATTTTGGTGGAACCATATAATAATGGTAGGGAATACTTGAAGGACTGGAGCATATATTCAACTAATTCTTCATTGGTGCTTCGACTGTTGACCGAGTTACAGGTTAAACTGCTGTAATATTATCCCGGCTAATCGCTGTGCTAGCTAGCCTAGCAGAGCGCTGTAAATACATGGTTTGAGCTTAGCTGCGCAGTCAGCTGACTCTTGTAGGTTGTCTATGGCCTGCGACACACAAGCATGCATTGTGACCATGTTTAGAGTTGATAAATGCCCTTCCCTGTTGTGAGTGACAAAGGAGTCAGATTTTTTTTATTATTTTTGGAGGGATGGGTGTTCCTCCTTTGCGTCAACAGGAGGAACACGGCTAACAGCGAGGTGCTGCTGTCACAGTGGACGGCCAAAGGTGCTGGAGGAAGCAGCATCATGTGGTAGTTACAGGGATTACAAATTCAAAGAAATTATAGAAGCTGATACACCACTTCTCCCTAAATTATACTATTTAAACACAGATTGGTGATTTTATTATTTTTTTAGCTAACCGAAACAGATGTCAGCAAGTTTAACTTGTTTAATTGGAATTGGTCAATTTTGCAACCCTAAAGTTTGCCTTGGTAAGATGACATTTCCTTCTCTGGTCCCTCTTTAATGTTGTTCCACACACACACTATGACCTTTTGTCACCTTGGTTACTCAGGGTAAGGGAAGGCTTAGAATATATCAGCCACTAGTTCCTGCGTCTCCAAAAGTCCTTGTGGCCCATCTAGTTGACCATTGTTGATATTACAAGCAAGTCAGTATGCAGACCAAGTGCCACCCATCCCCCCTGCTGGCTTGTTATGAAGAATTTGTGTGTGTATGTATGTGTGTATATATGAATTTATTTTTTGTTTTTGATTATATTTTAAATAGTTCATTATTGGTATGGCTGCATTGTGTGTATATTGCCCTTATGTATGCTTAGGGTAGTTTATGCTGCTGATGGTGAGGGGCAAAAAGCACCACAGGAAATGCTACTTAGGCGACATTCACAATGCAGGCCTTGATGCTCAATTCTGATTTTTTTTTGTGTGAAATTCGATTTTGTTGCATTGCCGTTCACATTTCCAAATATATGCCACTTGTATGTGATCTCCTTTGCAAACTGTCATACTTACCTGACCGGGGGTGATACCTTGATCATGAAGGAGGTTCACCCAGAGTGGAGTCCTTGTGTTTTCCAAGAGGCAACCTCTAAAATATGCTGCTTTAACAGTAGACTTTCTTATTTTTGCCAGTCGGATATCTTCGTATGGTCATAGGATCCTACCACCAATTTTAGGCCAATCGATCAATGGGAGTGGCGGCCTAGTGGTTAGGGCATAGAGCTTTGAATGCTGAGGTTGTGAGTTCGATCCCCCACTCCCACAGACTGCCACTCTGGGTCCCTGAGCAAGACCCTTAACCCCACACTGCTCCCCAAGGGAATGGGTTAAATGCAAAGAAGTAATTTCCCTCTGGGATTATTAGAGTATATAAAATACAAAAACGGAAGTAAATATTGATGTTGTGCTGGAGTGCATCTAGCGATCTTTCCAAACCTTAAAACCTCAATCTTTTCAAGATGGTAAAAAAAAAAAAAAATACTGCTCTCCGCATCATTGTCCGCCATGGTGTTTGTTCTTCTTGCCGCTCCTGTGTAGCAAGAAGCAGAATAATGACCCATGTTGGTTACTGATGGCGATCAGGTCGGATGAATGGAACCTGGCCGTTCAGACACAGGTTCGCATTTGCAAAGATCAGATTCGTATTGGATTCAGGACCACATAGCCAAGTGGCCTGGGTCGGATTGGAAAAAATCGGATCCGTGTTGTTCAGACTGCCATGAAACGACCAGATACAGGTCGCATATGGGCAAAATAAATCGGATCGGGTCACTTCAGGCTGTTGTGTGAATGTAGCCGAAGTTTTGAAGGCATGGGAGGAGTTTAAACTTAACTAAAAACAGTGCAGTGTCCATACTGCAGAATTAAAATTGGCATTCAAGATTAGCACACCCTTGATGCTGCAACCTCTAAGCAGGAAATGTCTACTGCAGCTCCAAGCCTCCACCAAGATGGGATCCCCCTCACCTCCATCGAGTCGCACATTTAATATCCACTCACTCTATAAATGCAGCCAGTGCTTCGTATAGAACAGAACAATAACAGCAGTTTTTTTTATTTTCTTTCTTTTGCTGCTTAGTCTACAGGGCTCAAACTCAACTTTGCTTAAAGCAGAACTGTGTTTTCATTGGCAAGCATGGCGGCCATGTGGCCAATCACATGTACAGATATAGTATTGTACTATTATGTGAAAACAGATACAGGAGCAGGCGCTGCTTGCTTGTGTGAGAGAAGTGAGGAGAGATTGAGTGTGCCTGTTTGTCAATGTGTAGCACTATGAGCGACACCCAAGGCAAAGCTGCATTTGACTGCAGCTTACAGATATTGGGTACAAAAAGCAGAGTTCCTTCACTGCAAAATGGAAACTTGAGAAAATGCAGCCTCTACCACAAACCTGGATTAATGTATTGTATAGGAAGTGCAACAATTAGAGGGGTATTAAGTTTTGCTTTCTGGTTTGGATTTCGTCCGTTTCAAAAGAAAAAAAAAAATGCAAATAATTAGCCAAATTGAAGGCTTCTCTTAAAAATGCTGAACAAGAAAGTGTTTAACACATTCAAACCGTTAGTATTATGCAGTTAATATAAAAGTACAGGACTGAAAAAGATTAATTTAAAGCCATATGGGGGTCAAATGAAAATAACTTTTCATCAATGTAAGCACAGAGCGAGGAGAAAACAAAAGTTAGGTTTGATCTTTTAAATTCCAACTACCCCCAAAATCTTTCTTTTTTGCCAGTAAACTTTATACAAGGATGTTTTAGAATTTTGTCTCCATGCTCTGTCTCATTAGTTTGACAGTTTACTGCACATCTCTTTTTATCCTGGTATTGTTTATTATTGTCTGCATTAGGAAATGGAGAATACTTTTAATCTGGAAAAAGAGCAGAGTTCCCTGTCTGTCTGTCTATTCCAAAATAATTATTTGACATTAACTTTGTTTTGGGTCACAAGATATGAATGTAAATAAATCATGTTTTTTAGTTTGTTTTGGTTCCAATGTTTTTTGATTAACATCGGGAAAGCTTCCCATGATTGGTCGCTCTGTCAGTCGCAGCCAAAACAACCAACAGATTACACCCCCTGTTGGATTAGGTGTTGCCTCCTTAAGGTGCATTCTTAAAAAAATAAATATGTGAGCGGAAGTAAGGCCCCAGTATGTCTTGGAATTGTTAGGTTTCCTACAAGGAATTTCTTTTATTTGAAATGCATTGAGCTTTCTGATGTTTAAATCTATATAAAAATAATAAAAACTATACAACACAGATTTCACTACATGGGTTGTTGCAATTTTATTATTGTGAAAGTATAATTGAGTGTTCACTCGGCAAGATTCCTGCTGATTTCTGCCCTGTCATCCCCTTCTGAGAGCCCCTGATAAACTGAGATGACCACTGCGATCACCAATGAAGGAAATCCAACATGTTGGATTGCTTGGCTCAATACCTTGTGTCTCTGTGGTATCATCCACATCAAGCAGATTTAAATCTGATGCTAGAGTTTGAGAATGTGATTTTTTGCGGTTTGACATGGCACATCAACCAATCCAGGAGATATCTGGGAGATGGTCACTGCATCCATGCTGTGATCTATCCTCACAGGTTGTTTTTTTTTTCATGAACAAGGAAAAGTCAGCGCTCTGATCATCTCACAAAAATATATTCTGAACTGTGGTTAGTTTTTCAGTTAATACCTACATTAAATAAAAAATCTCCAGACTTGTTGGTGAAAAATGTTTGATTTTATATTCTGCTTTTTGCAGTTTTTACCACCTAAAACACGCTTTATATTCACTTCCATTTAGCACAAAGTGCAACGGGAAATCTCATTGTTCGGCTGGCTTCAGTGAGCTGTCGCTTGGATTTCTGAGTGCTACCGCCCGCCTGTATGAAGGGATTGCAGTATGAGAACGGCAACACGCGTCAGATCAATCTGTACACTTTGCTTGATATTTTCTAGACCGCTGTTATCCAGCTATAGCTTCTGGACTTCATGACATTGGATCATATCTGCAGGATCTGTTGGACTTTGGGATTCTGTTGGCTTTGTTTGACTTTTCAGAGTAAATTAAGCACTGTGACTCGCTCTGTTAAATCAAGGTCTGCTATGTTGAAGTGAAACAGACAACCAGCAGGCTTGATGATGTAGTGGGGCCTTTCATCCGCTGTGCAAATTGCTGCCGTTTTCTTTTGCTCGCCTTACCTGTCGAAATGAAAGGCAATCAGAAGTACACAGAACAGGTGTTTTTCTTTTTTGCAGGTTTTACGTTTTCTGTAAATGCTTGATAAGCACTGCACAATATTCTCAGGTATCCAGCAATTATTTAACAATGAGCCGAGCATTACTTGGTTTTAATGCATGACGTGGAGTATTGTGAGTTTGGAGTAAAGTAAGAGTTGAGTGTGAACAGTGTCACAATGCCTTGGATTCACGGCGCATAAAGACAATAGATGGTGTAGGTTCCTGCTGTCCTTATTGAAGCTTTAGCTTGACGCTCGTCAGACTCCCTTGTATCTAAAGCACTCTGAAAATAATTCCATGAGTCCACTTCTTGATTTCAACGGTTTACTTGAAAACTTAAGGCAACATTACAGAAAACATAAAATGCATCCATGAAATTAAGTCCTTTTAAAGTCAACGGAGCCGGGGAAGGGTGAGGTCAAAAAACTATTGCGCTCCAATCTCCATCTGATTCCCACTGCATTCCTCACCTGGCATGAAGATAAACCACTCCCCTTCGTGGGTTTTTAAATGTCACAATAAAAGTCATATCTTACTCACAATATCAATTAACTGAACATATGAAAATAGCATTTTTTTATCCTAAATCCCTTTGGATCATTAAATAAAAAATAAAAAAAACAATATTTATCTAATGAATTTGCATATACTTAAATAAAATAAAAACTAAATATTCTAACTCAAATAAACTACATTTAGGCTCTTACAGATGGTACGTTTTCTTTCAAGTTAAAATAAGTATTAATCTTAACTCATAGGATTTATTGAAAAACCTATGACAAACCCATGAGACTGAGTTTGCATCTGTCTTGTTGCTTTTACTTATGGAGAATTTTTTGCAGTTATTTTAAGCAAGAATACAGATTTTGAGATGGCTACTGTGGCAGACTGCTAAAAAGTTGACCTAGAATGAAAAACCTCTGGAAGTGATCACTTTACCTGGAACTTGGATTCCATGTTCCTTATAATCCTTAAGCGTATTTTGCAATACTCCTTTTTTGCCAGAACCCAAATATTAGACTCTTTATTCTTGTTTTGATTTGAGCTTACCTGATCTTTTTTTTGTTTTTGTTTTTTTAAGGTCACCTCGAACGGTGCTGGTTTGAACCCAAATGCCAAGGTGTGGCAGGAGATCCCTGTGGCCCCCAGCGAGGCTGTTACCAGTCCTCATTGGCCTCCCTCAGACATCAGTAAGTGTTTAATACATCAACATAAAAATGACATAAGGCAAATCAGCCCTGAGATCAGAACAATGTAAAAAAGAATTCATAAATATTTGACTAATTTTCGCAACCCAACTTTGTTCCTGTGTTTTGAACAGGTTATTCAGAGACTCCATCAGCTGGTTGTAAGCAGTACACTGTGGGATTTACCACCCTGGGTGACAGCAGCTCCACAGCAACAGCTGAGATAGCAGTAAATGGAATGGACCCTCAAGAGCTGGGCTTTTCCCCTGCAGAGTCCACGACGGGGAGCTCTGGTCAGTCGTTACCTCACATGCACGCTGCAGCTAAGGAGATGCCTCTTCCCAGTGCATTAGAAATAGGATTTTTTAAGGAAAGAAAACCTTTTAAAATTAGTTTTATTATTAAAAGTTTATCCCTAGCTTGCCTGCAGCAAAATTTCTTTCAGTCTTTGAACACATCCAGTGTTTGACTGGCGGTTCGGACCTTTACAGTTCATTCATATACAACCACACCTAACCAATTAATCAGTTCCTAATCTACCTTGTCAACATCTATCTTTATTGACTCTTAGAAACCTGAACTGGACATTATAGAGAAGTGAAGTACCCTGCCATACCATAGATTTTTCAGAAAGTTGTAATCAATTTCACATACAGCAAGTCTAATAGAGAATTCATTTATATGTTAGCCCTGAATGAAGAATGTAATTCTTTTATGGTTTGTGCAGTTTCAATCAGAATCAGAAAGGACATCTGTAGCCCTGCTTCCTTGAGCCAGTGTGTCCAGTGGCTTGTGTCGTATGATGGTTGCTTTTTGTTTTTTTGCTCATGTAGGAGACACATGCTGAGTTAGCTTGAATGCAGGTGCCATTGTAATTTCGGTTTAGAGGGATTTGGCCCTCTGTAAAGGCTGGGTTACACTGGATGCGTACAAATTTAAAATCTCCAAACCAATTTTTTTTTTAAATTTTAATTCCTTCGATGTTACACTAACTTTTTATATATATATATATATATATATATATATATATATATATATATATACATACATACATACATACATATAGGTTGCTAAATAACTGAACAGCATTTCATTAAAACTAGACCTTGAGAAAGTATCATTCTAATAAGTTATTTTTTTTTATCATTATTTAGTCATTTTAGTAATGCATACATTTTCTTTTTGTATGAACACTGAGTATGTTGCTCCTCAATTCACTGTGATAAAATTAAGTCTTGTATTTTAAACAGCTTTAAACCACATAAGAGGCCATTAAAACAGTTTCTCATTTTTTTTCTATCTTTAATAAACTAGATTTACAGGTGCCAGAACCACATTTAATGGAGACAAGATTAATAGGAAAGACAGCTGTTTGAGGCATGTCTTAGTTTATTGAACCAAAGGTTTGGCTTTTAATCATTTTTCTTACTTTGATTTCGTTCCCCTTTAGATTCCAAAACTGAAGAGCAAGTCTCCTCTGAAAACCTACGAGAGTCTCTGAAGAAAGAACTGGAGTTTTATTTCTCAAGGTAGGATTTAAACATGTAAATATAGAGAAGTGAAATAAACAACCCTATTCAACTTCCTTTAGTTATGGCCTGCATGAAGGCCTTAGTTGCTACACCATGACATGCTTTTATTACTGAAAAGATTTTAAAAAGTGAATAAAATCTGTGGAGTAACAAGGGGGAGGTACTAGATTTGTTTACACATAATTCCAGTAACTAGTCACCCTCAGGCTTCCTCTGGTATCTCATTAAAAGAAATGGGAAGTGTAGGAACCTTGTCCAAGATAACGATTTTTTTAAACTACATTTTCTAAAACCTCTGAATGTGAAGCTCATTGGTAAGGGACCCATCTCTTCTAGTCTTTTGAAAACAAAAAACTTGAAAGTCACCTGCATGAATTTATCATTTTGTTTCAGAGAAAATCTCTCCAAGGATTTATACCTCATGTCCCAGATGGACAGCGACCAGTTTGTCCCCATTTGGACTATAGCCAGCATGGAGGGCATAAAGGTCCTCACCACGGACATGGAGCTCATCCTGGATGTGTTGAGATGTAAGTAAAAGTATCAGGATGACACTTTGGTTGGTGATTTTGTGGGGAATCTCTATTTATATACATGTCATGCTGTTAGCTTCTCCAATGGTACAAGTTGATGAAAAAGGGGAAAAAGTGCGACCCAATCACAAACGATGCATCATCATCCTGAGAGAGGTGCCTGAAACTACACCTGTTGAGGTACAGCCATCATTTGCACATATTTTAGTCGTTGATAGAAGCAGTAGATTTTAAAGCAGACTATTTTGCTTCAACTCCACAGGAAGTTGAGTCGTTGTTTAAAAACGACAATTGTCCAAAGGTGATAAGTGTTGAGTTTGCACACAACAACAACTGGTACATCACATTCCAATCGGACACAGATGCTCAGCAGGTACATCTGTTTACACTCTTTTCTCCTCTGTTGCTGACCGTTCAAAATGCAGCTCCTTAGGTGACTGTTGAATCGCTCTTCCAGGCATACAGGTACTTAAGGGAAGAAGTCAAAACATTTCAGGGAAAACCCATTATGGTAAGTTAAACACAATGTTTCACAGGTAGCGCTTTGGGAAACCTCAGTTGTTTAATTGCTCTTTATTCTCCCAACAGGCAAGGATAAAGGCCATAAACACATTCTTTGCAAAGAATGGTTACCGTAGCATGGACAGCAGCTTATACGCTCAGCAGTCCCAGAACCAATCCCAGTACAGCTCTCCACTCTACATGCAGCACGTCTACCCCCAGCAGCAGTACCCAGTCTACGGCATTGTACCTCCTACCTGGACCCCTTCACCCACACCTTATTTTGAAACTCCTCTGGTAAGGAGCAACTTCCTCTTAACAGACTACATGTAGTTTGACTAAATCACGGTAAACATATATTTATGTTACAAAGAGATTTCCTTATTTCAGCTGGTGCTGCTTTTATAATTGTGATCAGTATTTTTGTGTATAACATTTAAAGGTGATTTTAGGTAGTATATAAAACAATAATTTTAATGCATTCTTGGTGTTAAGGCTCTGTTGTACTATGGAAAAACAGGGATGAGACCGACGGTTGGCAGTTCTTTGAAATTGTTAAAACTGAACCGTGTGTAAAACAAAAAATGCTGCTTAACAGCTTTATTATTCACAGTCAGGGAAGTCGTCTCTTGTACTCAGATTCTGTGTCTTAAATAGACCATAAGATTCTTGTAATGAAACAGTTTCGAACTTCATTGCCATTTAAGAGCTGAAAACATCACGGTCAGAGAGTCTAATGATGACCATCTGTAAGTTTGAATGTGTTATTTCATCCACTTTTTTAACCTGTTTGCTCCCACCTTTTTGGAACTTTTGCACAAAACTATTGCATATCCAAATCCCAGATGTTTATGATGCATCTGATTTAATAGCTAAGGTCTTCTGTCTTCGGTCTTTCTGGAGATATGTGTTCAAACTGTAAGTTTTACAAAACTTGAGCTGTGTGGCGTTGAATATTTCCCCCTAAAAATTTTTTACTTTTACATAAAAAATGCATTTTTAATCTTCCATATGTTGGGTATAATTCATAGTTGAACTCTCCACTTTCTACATGGGCTGATCATGTTGTGGATAATAACTGTTGAAAACGTTAGATCTCTGGTCACAAACATTGTAAAACTGTGACCCTTTTTGTATGCTAAAAGGTCTATTTGGCACAATTGATTAAAATTGGGACCAAATGGATAATTGGATTTTTTTCTGCTTTAAAGCAGTGATCCGTTCTTGGCCTTTGTTCTTAAAGGAAACTCCTGGACCATTTTAGATGCTTCAACACCACCTGGTAAAATAACAGCTTAATAGACCATATTATCAAAGATGTTCATTTGAGACCACTGCTTTAAAGAAAATGTATCTGTACACAAAAATTTTAGTACAAAGCATTTTCCTAGTTTGGATTAATTGCCTACGATGTTCAAGCAATTGCTGGAGTCTCTAAGAGCAAAATGCATGTAAGAAAAACATTAGGTTGTATTAAAACTAAGTACAGCTCACCCTTGTTTTCTTTTCTATCATTAGGATATTCCCGAATGCATGAAGGATGGTGAATCATTGCTCAATAGCCTAGTATCTGTTGCATCCAATATTGTGTGTGTATATTGGGATTTAAAATGAAGTAAATTTCAGCTTAAATATGAGCTTCAAAGCCTCCCTCTGACATTCTTGAAGTGTTGCAAAGTAAATAAAGAAAATTGCTGCATGAAACTAGATCAGTAAAAGCTGCTTTTTCCCTCCCTGCAGGCACCTTTTCCTAACAGCAGCTTTGTGAATGGATTTGGCTCTGCAGGACACTACAAAGCTGGCTCCACTGCTCTTAACCTAACTCGCCCATTCAACAGAAACCGGTAAGCAGGTTTAGTTTGGGTTCTTCAGGTGTTTTTGTTTTATGCTGAGCTGTGTTTTTAAGGTTTACTTAAATCTCAGCCTTCTGTTTTCATGATCATACTAGAATTAAACTGTAGCTTTAACCACTTGTGTTGTTGTTGGCATGCTGAGTTAGACTGTTGAAATTAGATCATCTGCAATGCAGTGTTGTCTGAAGAAAATATAACCCGACAGGGAAATGCTTCTCACTTCCCTCTTTCTTACTGTCCTCACAGTGTCCCTCTGTACTCAAGAAAGAATGTAATAAATGCCTTCAGGTACCTCCATGTTATACTTTATGAGCTTCATCACTGCCTTCATGTTTTACCATAGTGCTGCAGCCCTAACAGGACCACACCCTTTAATCATCAAATATGTTTATTTTGATCATTTGTCCTCCTCATTTCTGTGATGATGTTTGGTGCCATTTATATAGATAAAAAAAATGTTCCTCTTAAATTTGATTACCAGTTAATGCCATTCATGAACTTTAGGCGCCAAACACATCCTCTGCATCAATATGTGTAACATCAGTTATTAACTCCATTTTACACTAACTCATTTTTTATATTTTATTGTTGTTTTCATCATTGACCAAATATCATGTGCGAGAGCCGACAGAGTTGATGCAGTCAGGAGCAGCTGAGGAATCATTTCAACCCGATGATGAGATCATGATGCGCATAGAGGGAAAATATGGGATGCAGTTAAATGGCTTCTGGTCCTCTTTCTTTTCTTTCTATTTTCTCTCTCTACTATTCTCTTACTTTCCAGAGTCAGACGCTTCACTCCCATCCCAATGAGCGTTCAGATTATGAGATCTGAGGGTTGACTCAATATAGAATTAAATATGAACCATATAGAAAATACTTCAACTTAAGCTCTGTTTCACTCGGGTTATGTCGGCTCTACTTGGCGAGTCTGTGATTGGTTGCAGTCTTTACTCCTTCAGCCAATCACGTTGACAGATGTAACCCAGACAACCCTGCCTGCTTGCCTATGTTGTTGTAAAGGATGCGACTTATGTTTGGGTTGTTGGAGCCATTGTTTGCTTTGAAAACAATTGCATGTTGCTGTTTTCTGTATGTGATGTATTTTCACCAAAGTGATTTCAGTACTAGTTAAGTGCAATTTTTAAAATTATCTTTATTTAACTTTCAAAAGGTTTTTCTCCAGTCAAGCTGGAGTTAAAATAACCATATCTCTGGTCTGTTGCAGTCTCTAACAGCTTTTGATATATTTCTCTCCATTTGTAAACTACAGCAAGATGCTACCACCACCACGTTTTACTTTTGGGCAGGTGCTCTCGCACTCTTTAAATACTGAAGAGTTTCACATCAAATATGTCTCACTGCAGGGAATAAATCCTTTACACTTGTTGAGAAAAATTAAACTACAACTGACTTTAGGATCAGAGCTGAACTAGCACTGGAAATGCTTTAGTTCAGATAGGGCTGTTGTAGCCTAACATTTGTGAATTTCAAAGTTCCTGAATGTTGTCTAAATCTTGGGAATTGGAAGCAGAACTGCAAAACACCTAGCAATTATCACTGTGTGTGTTCATTTGGAATCTGCCATTTGTGATCCATGTTAACTAAACTTTATTTAAATTTCTTCTGGAGCAGAAACCACGTAAAGCCCCAAGTCAGGACGAGTGAGGTGACTGCAGCCTCAATAACACCTGTTTCACTGGAGAGTCTGGCTGCACTGCGCAGCCCACAGCCGCCTATTGTCGGTGTTGGAGCCCCCATCACCACTAACCCCAATCAGACAACTGCTGACATTACTTCAGCCTTCTCGCAGCTCTCCTCTTCTTCGTCATCTTTGGATCCTAGTGATGACAGCAGCATCGCTGGACGTGGAAGGTAAACTTGGACTACTGCTGATAAGTTTTTTTTTTTTACTGTTAAGGACACAGCATGTTTGCTCAATGTTTTTAACTTTTTTTTTAATACAAAAGGATAAAATAACAAAAGCAGCGTTCAAGGTGCAACTGATGATGGCAAACAGATGCTAGAGAGTCCCACAATGCAATGCGGTTCTTTCTAGCCCCATGGTGGAGGTTCTCTGATGACATTTAAACTGGACTTAATTTAATGTTTATAGAATTGTAATGACCTGAACTGCTCTGAGTTCCTTTGGAAAGCTGGTGACTTTGTCCAGATTTCTTTATGTGGCTTTATTCGTTAAAAACACTGCCTCTTTACTCTGTTAGAAATATTCTAAATTGCCACTTATAGGCATTGGTGGACTTTAGGACTGTAAAAGGAAATAAACGGATTGCTAAACACAATGCCATTACTATTGAGACTCAGGGGGCTTTCAGTATATTTAAATCAAGAGAAATGTAAGTTTTTTTTTTATTAGAACGGAGAAAATAAGTTTAAATTTGTTTTGTCAGTTTGTAGACCTTAGAAGGGTGTTCAGAAGAGAACCAACTGGATTTGTTTGTAAATTAATAAAAGCTGCGATTAGACTAAGGGTTACAAAATTGGATTTATCAAGTGGGTAGATGATTTAAAGAAAAAAACAACAACTAAAGAATTGTACAAATTAAAAGAAACTCTGTTTTGTTTCTGGGGAAACAGAAAAGACTGCTCTGTCACTTTCTAGCTATCTCTGTGATATTTGACATCAGATCTTGACTGAAACACTAAGTTCCTGTACTAAATAATTTACCCAATTATTTGCTTGCTCTTTTTATATTGTACTTTTCTTCCAACCTATATGTGTAAATGAAGGGATAAACTTATTGTTTGACGCTTAATGCTAACAGTTTAATTATGTGCTTTGCAGACGGAGCACAACCTACAGAGGAACACGAAGAAGGCGAGAAGATGAGCGGAACGCGGTAAATGGTTAAGCCTGATTGCCGTAGTGCTTCGGTTTGTTTAGATTTTCAGCCATGGCTTCATTATTCGACTGCTTTCTCCATTATCATTCCAGAGGCCTGTCCCTTTAGCCGACGTGAAGGTTTCTCCTCCCAAGTTTGACTTGGCTGCCAACAACTTCCCGCCTCTTCCTGGCTGTGTGGTCAGCACGCAGGGAGAGCCTGTGCTAGAAAACCGAATGTCTGATGTAGTGCGAGGTTTGTACAAGGTAAGAGTTATTTTATTTACAATTAATAGAACTCTGTGAGTTTTCAGAATTGTAATTTAAACGCATTTTTGCATCTTACAGACGGAGCAGACCAGTAAAGAAACCACTGTTAGTCCAGGATCAGCCCAAACCCATCCCAGTGAGGATGCTGTGGCTGTCTCAAGTCCTGCTCTGACCACCCCAAAATCCACTTCGCAACCACTTGGTTCTCTGGCCTCCCGGTATGATGACCTGTTTTGTTTTTTGTTTCCCCGATATATTTACTGTTTCTTTCTGTGAGCTGATCCTCAAAATGTTTATTCTGACAGTATAACTCCTCAAGAGAAGAGAGTCGAGCGGGCCGAACCCCCAGTGTCCAAAGCAACTCAGCGTACACCAGTTCAAACTACTTTGAACTCCTCTTCCTCACAGCCTACGTCTTGCTCACGACCTCAGCCATCTGCTGCTTCCACAGCTGGGACCACCAGCACACCAGCCCCCTCTACAGCCACTATTTCCACTCCAACACAGGTACTTGGAGATCTGCTTTTTTACTGCAAACTTGATTTTATTCCTGGTTATTAGAATTTTTACATCAGGGAGACAATGGGGGGGAACTTTCTGTTTTATATGAAATTTGCAGGTTCGTCGTTTTTTTTTTTTTGTTTGCTACTCTTTCCTGCCATTAGTTCAGAACATTATTTTCCAATTAACATTCTGATTATAAGCTCTGAAGCTGAAGAATGGTTTGCAGACGTATTCATACCCCTTGAACCTTTTTGTTCAAACATTAAAACCTTGTGCCTTAATATACCTTTTCAAGTTAAAGGTAACAACAAATGGTTTTCAAGATAATTTATCTCCCTTTATAAGATGGGTAAACATTTCTAAAATGCTTATTTTACACAAGTTGAACATATTGACATTTACTACCCTATCATACTTGAAACTTGAGAGATTTTGCCCAATTTAAAATAAAAAACAAAAACAAATTCTTACTGTTATTTTTATATATATATATTATATATATATATATATATATTTTTTTTTTTTTCATTTCTTCATGCTCACATTTTTTTATGCTGATATTAAACCAAAAAATAACACAAAATAAAGAGAAACACCCTGCAGCATCAGCTAGCTTTAATAAATGAAGCATCATGGTTTTTCTGACAGCGGTATTTACTTTGTGTTGGTCTATTACATAAGTTTCCTGCAGAATGAAATAGATTTTACGGTTATATTACATCACTGAAGTAGTACTTTAACACTGTAAATGAACAATTACTTTCAGTCACTCAGGTCTTAAACATAAGATATATATTTTTTGGTAATCTACCTTTCTTCAGGAACCCCGTAAACTCAGCTACGCCGAAGTGTGCCAACGGCCACCCAAAGACCCTCCCCCAGCAGCCCCTGCCCAGGCTCCCTCTGCCGCAGCGTCTGGCCAACCATTACGTGAGCTGCGCGTGAACAAGGCCGAGGAGCTGGCCTCCAGCAGCAGCAGCAGCCCAGGAGATAAGCAGGAGAGAGGCCACGACAAGGAGGGGGGATGGGAATGCAAGGAGAGCCGACCGCCGCGTGAACGTGACTCTCAAGGTTACCATCGCAGCAACGGGCCCAGAGGCCCGGGGGGGCTCAAGTTCCGGGACCAACGGCGCCCGCCCCCGGCTCGAAGAGGCTCCCCTCAGGGAGGCTACAGACACACTGGCAAAGAGCAGAATATACCACCAGTTTCGCCAAAGTAAAAACTTGATATGACTAGAAAAAATATGTATGAATATATATACATGGAGATATATATATAAATATATATATAAAACTATATAAAGATAAATAAAATAAAAAGCAACAACTTTATGGTAGCCACCTTCCCCCCTCCCTGAGCGGAGACTGTCCAATGAAAAGCTTTTAAAATGACTAACATCCAGGACTTGAGGGCAGAGTGACGCCTGATGAACTCTTAGAAGTGGTTCTAAAAGGGACCTGGCTCTCGCTTTGGCCTCCAGCGTTACGCTTAACACCATATAAGTGCGATTTATCAGGAGGCTGTGCTTATGCTCTGCTTGGGGGAAGGTGGGATGCTGGGCCACATTAAACGGCCCTCTACCTATTTTTTTTTTTTTTTTGAAAATAGATGTTGGTCTGCAAGAACAATGTGCACTAAGAGGAAAACATGCATATATGTCATACATGTACAAAGATATCACTAACACGCAAAGAGACATCAGTTTTTGTTTTCCCCCGTGTGCTTAGGTTCGCAAGTATGACTGAAGGGTCGAACGATGTCTACGTGTGCATTGATTGTCAGGCAAAATGATTGAAGTGCTGCAGTTGCACCGATTTTTATGAAATGGATAACTTGATTTTTCCAGCAGAGATCCTGAATCGTTGTCCAGAAAAAAAAGACGGAGTCTTCTATTTGTAAATTAACGAAACTGTGTTAAACAGTGGTGTTATGAATCTGAGTCATTATCAGTTTCAGAAACTGTTCCTGTACACCTCGGTCACCTTTGTGATTTTGTTTGAAACTGAAATAGAGGTTTTAGGAGGGGGGGTGGTCATGAACCTGGTCCAAAGTTTTTCATGTTATTTTGTTAATCAGAACCATTTGTTGATCTATCCACTGCAGTGGATTCAGAACTGCATTGTTAATCAGTCAGGTTCTCTGTTTACATCTCTGTTTTTTTGTTTTTGGGGGGTAGAGAATCTATATGTCGATGGTAAGATTTGACTGTTAAGTGTGCCTGTTGGTTCAAGTGACGTTTGGCTTTTCTACATTATCACAGGATATTCAGGTTAAGCTTATATCTGTGAATTGTTCCTAATGGTGACAAAGTTTTAAGAAAAGAGGCTAAGGAGTGCTGTTAAGGTTGATAGCTACAAAATATCTGGCAGCGAAGTTGTGGAAAATGAGAAACTTTTCCTCATGCTATGTGCCAGCTGCCTGCGATCATAGTTCTAGGATAACGTTTCTGATTTTTATTGAGATAGGCTAAATGTGTAAACATAAGACTGGTATATGATTTACAGATTCCAAAATTCTTTTTTTTTGTTTTTTTTTTTTTTTTTTTTTTTTTTTTTTTTTTGAGAAGCTGTAGAGGTATAGTTGCCTATGCTATATTGTTATAACCCTCCACTAGAGATGTGTGGGAGAATGTAATTATTTCTAGTACTAAATTTGACGAGAGGCTTTTGACAGACCTGTATCTATCGGATTGTTTTTGTGCTTTAGGGTGAGTTTGCAGGTTTGTTTCTCCATTTTATTTTTTTCCCTTTTTTTTTTATTTTGAAAAAAAAAAAAAAACAGGTTTGCTTAGAATATGAAGTTTGACTCACTGTATGTGTTGCTTTATGAATTTATTTATTTTAATTTTAATGCACAAAGCTTTTCTCCCAATCTTGGTAGGCTGGTTTCGCCAAAGTTGTGTGAAATCGTATTGTCAAAAAAAAATCACGCATATGACATTTGTATACTGATCAAAGTGTCAGCTGAAAGGAAAAATACTTGATGCATTTCCTTTGGGTCTGTCAATGCAGTGAACGAGTATCCAATCACTGGGGCTATAATTATATATATTTTTTCCTCATTGGGTATGAGCAGCTAGTGATTTAGTATAATTCAAGAAATGCACTAACATGTTTTTAAAAAGAATCGTACTCATAAGTAATGTGAAATAATTTTTAGAAGCATATGGTTGATGTCGACAGGCTTGCAAATACCTACAGAACCTGCTTTCCCCCTCTGACATATTATTTGGGTTGTGTTTCTGTTTGATTAGGGTTGGGGTGGCAACAGGCAATGTAGTAATCGATCAACCAAGTGTTTGAGACACAATTGTAGAAACTGTATGAAATGTCACCAAAAATAAATTATTTTGATTTGGCTCTCCAGTCTCACTTGTCTTACGTCTTTGCTCCAGCCTTGGATTCCTTGCCCAGACAAAGCGCAGTTAAGGGTTGCCTTTTACTGATTTTTCTGCATCTTTCTATTCTTTACCGAGGATGGATGCCTGTGTCGACTGTAATGCCTGCAAAGCTCTTTGTTGATAAAGCGTTTGATATCTACTTATCTGCTTTAAAAAACAATGCTGAATTAAATTTATTTTGAATTTTCTAGATCTTTTAGCTCTTTCTTTCTGTATTAATGATTAGGAACTTCAAATTTAATCACTAACAATAGATGGGGAAACAAGTAACACATTTCTATGGGTAGATAAAATGTGACATTAAGCAGGATTTAAATTTCTGTCATTGTTTTTGATTACTTTAAGAATGTTTTACAGGTATCTGTGTGAAGTCAGTTCAATGTTTGAATTTGCATAAAGATCTTAACATAATGAAGATTTCCAAGTTTGTTTAATTTAAAACATTTTTGTTGAATGTCAATTAAAGTCTGCTGACTGAGGATTTATTCTTTGCAATCAACATTTCACTCATAATGTGATCAGAAATAAAAAAAAAAATCAACTTGTTTTAATGGAAAATGCTTTTTTAATTGTTTTATTTCAAGATTTCTTTTGTCATCAATTTAGTCAAACCTTTCAAATGAAATAGAATGTCTTATAAAAATGGTCTTATGTTATTCATTTGGAAATTTAGAAATGTTCAATTTAATTCATGGTTTCATATATATATCTTTGGAAGCAACATTTTGACCTGCAATAAGATCAAAACAATCAAGTTTGTTTTAAAAGTCAAAATGTTCCTTCCATATTTCAGTTTTAGACTTTCCTCAGTTCTCGGAAATGTGTTCTAAATATTTTATCCACAATTTGAGTACAAAGATAAGATTTTAGACAATAACTGGTAATGGCAAAACAGCCGCCCAATATATAAATGTACTGTGCTGCTGATTGGGAATCCTTAACCACTAACAGATTCCCAAAAGCTCTTTAACAATACATTAAATATATAAAGAAATGTAGGCCTTTCAATGATACAGAGCAAAATATTCAAATTTAATTTGGAAGTCATAATTAGGTGTTACTAATTCAGTCAATCACATTATCTGCCTATGCTGGAGTTGCAATTGATGAACAAGGCAGCAAATTAATAAATAAAAAATGTGGCTGAAACAATCGGATTAATCATGATTGATCGATTATTGAAACAATCGTCAACTAATTAAGTAATTAATCGTTAACTGCAGTATAGTGACTCTAAACCATGCCTTTAGCTGACAGGGGAACCCATTTAGATCAGTAGTTATATCAACATGGTAAAAAAAAACAAATACATAAAAATTCTGCATTTAAGATGAAAAAAAATTTTTTGCCTGATTTCTATCCAGAACTCTTCAAGTGGAACAGTTTAAGTTTGACCTGGTTTATTTGTGGAAAAAAATCTTCCTTAAGGAACCTTTGGTTATTCTATTATTAATCAAAAAAATAATCGACAGATTAATGGATTTGCAAAAAAAATTGTTAGCTGCAGCACTAAATGAAAATATGACAAATATGTCACACTTTTGTCCGGTTCTGTATAAATGAGCTTTCAGAGTTTGTTCTCCTTTTAGTTTTGAAGGATTATTGACGGCAGGTAAATGATCAGCTGTTAGTAGGAGCTCTTCTGCTGCACTCGAGCCTGAAGACACTTTAGCAGAGGCGTAGCAGGAAAACTTTTATAATGGTGGCCAGGCAATAACCAATGTATACTGAGGGGTGGCCAAAAGTGGATAGGCACCAGAACCTCACGGCCAATCTAAGCTGTTCCAACAGGAACAAGCACAACATCCATATTCCAAAATAAAGACAAACTACAGTTTCCAACAGCCTTTGCTAAAATATAGATGCATATATTTAAAAATCCATTTAGATAAAAGCTATATTGGATAAAATTCTTTGAGGTTTGAATTCTGGGGCGAACATCTTTTCCATCATCATTACTACTTTTATCAATATCATTCTACATTAATTGATATTTACAAGTACTAATATCTACAGAAATTGATAATTGAATAGGTTTTTGTTAAAATAGTTATTTACAGTATCTATGATATCACTGGAGACTCTTAGATGACTTGCAGAGACAAAATCTAGTTCTGAAAGAGCATGAATTCTGTTCTAATCATCTCTAATGTTGGTATGTTGATGTGCATAATTAACCACAGTGTGTTTCTTGTCAAGTAATTGTTAATATATATAAGATTAAAATATTTTGAATATTCTACTTGAGAGAAAAAAAAAGGTAGGGGTGGTCACAGGGCAGAGGTGTCAAATAACGAAGTACAAATACTTCGTTACTCCATTACCTTTTTCTTCCTACTTCTGACTTCTGCAGATCATTGGCGCTATCTACATCAAGTGAAAACTAGTGTAATTGGATGAGTCATATAACGCGAACACTTATTGGTTAGCTAAAGGAAATCATCAGAAGCAAACAGGTGTTTTTCAAACTGCAAATGTGAATTATCTATGCCATGCTACAATGTCGGATTCAGAAAAAAGATGTTGAAACGTCTGAAAGGTCGGACACAGGCGAGAGCGTATCTGGAGATGGAGACCAACAGGACCTCCCTCATCCTTGGCCCTATCTCAAAGAATTTTACAAAAAAATTCAAAAATTGAGCTTTCAATTCATATAGTGGCATCTGGCTGTTTTTTTAAAGTTTACTTTATACTTTAAGTAGTTTTTAGAACACATACTTTTTCCCTTTTTCTTGAGTAAAGAGGTCAGGTTGATACTTCAACTTTTATCAGTGTTTGTTAACTGCAATATCTATACCTAAGTAACTAATATGTTTACTTTTGACACCACTGCCACAGGGGTGGCCAATAATTGGCTAAGGATGACCATGGCACCCCCTGGCCCCCATCTAGCTCCGTACCTGCGCTTCAGAGCAGCGGACACCGGAACATGGCGATCTGTATGGGAGAAATGTTCAGACTGAAACATCTGTAATCAGAGACGCTGCTGTCACGTATAAGCAGGGGGCGTGGTCGCGTGACGTGCCCGTGTTTGTGTCAAACAGCAGCTGGGCTCTACAGTAACCTTCTAGCTCTACCCTGGGCTTTTAAACGGTACGGTATTCCTTCAGCATCGACTTTTTACCGGTTTTTGATGCAACTTACGATTAAAGACGCGTTTACGCGCATTTGGGGAAGGTGTCATTTGTTTTTAAACCTCTAGCCGTTTGTTTGTTTTCTTATCTTCATGCTAGCATTAGCGGCTACTAGCTAGCTGCTTGCTAACCGGGATCTTTGTTTTTGTTTCAAAGCAAACCCTCAGCACCTTCTTTAGACCGCTCACATCTGTTTTAGCTTTAAATCTTTAGCTTATCACTATACGAATACCATAATTTTAATGTAAAGTTAAAGCTACGTATTTCCACGATGTTGTTTTGCTGTTAAATATGGGTCATTTTTTCCTGACAGCTAAAGTTTACAGAGAGAACGCAGCTGCTGTTAAAGAAGACGATCTTACTTGGTTACTTTTGTACTTTATTAATATCTTTAAACATGATCTTTCTAACTGAGTGATGATTTTATCAATTTCTATTTTCAAGTAATATGCATTTCTATTCTTTGAATTCAGTCATATTATGTCATGTTGTATTTAATAGTATAGTTTATATGTAATAATAACATACAAAAAATGGATCCTATGAATCTGACAAAGTAACATATCCACCATTCTAGTTGTGCATTTTAATATTTTTAGTATTTTTTTTCTATTTAAAATTTGATTAAGGAACAACATGAAGAATGTGCATCTCTTATGTTCACAAAGGGTGGTATAGTCTTATAAATCATCTATTCAGTATGTCATATTGATCCTTACAACATACCCCATTAATGTGACGATCCCATCTCCAGTATTTACTGTTCCATTTCTTTCCTTCTTTCCTCCTCTTCGACCCCAATTTCAAAAGAATGGGGAGGAAAAAGAAATAACGAACCAATATCACATGGGAATAACTTTTCCAAACCGTAGAACAAATGGTTTAAAGGGAACAATGGTTGTCGCCTCGATTTCATTAGTCTCAGATCTGGTGTTCACGAATCTACGCCATGGGGTCCACTGTTTTTCAATTTTTTTCGTGCTCCAGTTTTAATGCAAATGTCTTGGATGATGTTTATCCAGTTCTCTTGTTTGGGCGTTTTGTCAGTCGTCCATTTCCAAGTGATTGGCTTTTTACTGGTGATTAGCATTATATTAAACATGTATGTTTTATCGATTCCCTTTATGCAGTTTATCATATTCCTATTTTAAAGAAGAAATACATTACCAACATTGGCAAAAGTTGCTGTAGGGAAAAAATTCATCTTTTTGTATTTGAAACATGTTCAGTTTTGAGAAAAGACAGAACAATGTGAGCTTATTAAATTCATTATTGTGTTTTCTTTCTTTTTTTTTTTCTTTTAAGAGTATTTGATGATCTCATCCTGTTTAACAGTATGTAACTCTTTCAGTGTGTTGTAGAGCCACCCCTGCCTGGGTGCCATGGTCCTCTGTTACACATGAGCTCTACTATGTGGTACATCATGCAGAGCATTCAGAGTAAATACTCCTTGTCCGAGCGGCTCATCCGCACAATCGCAGCCATCCGCTCTTTTCCACACGATAACGTGGAGGATCTGATTCGTAAAGTAAGTGGGCAGGTCATGCATGGAGTAAAAAAAAAAAAAAAAAGTGTCCCAGCTGCTGTGGCGATATCATAATCTTTGTCTCTTGTCCTTATCAGGGAGCTGACGTGAACCGGATGCATGGAACCCTAAAACCTCTGCACTGTGCCTGTATGGTAGCTGATGCTGACTGTGTGGAGTTGTTGCTAGAGAAAGGAGCAGAGGTGTGTTTTTTTTCCACTTTATGCCACAAAGTTTTAGATGAACTGTAATCTTTCTAGATAAAGATCGCTTTAAGAGAGGTGAACTTGTTCACGCTTGTAATCTAAAGCAGGATTTTACCGCAAGAGGTAGCTTTTAAGCCTCTGAAGTAGCTATTGGCAAGCTAGTAATGCTTGTGTTATAGCAGGTTTCAGGGATCCTACACAGTCTTCACATGTCTAGAAGTATGGAGCTCAATTTTTTTATTTTTTAATTTCCAGGTTGGATTTCTAAATAGAAAACAGTCCCAGACTATTAATAAATAGAACTAAACCTGACAGCTACACATTATCAGTCTGGATTTTTAGATTATGAGCTTTCTTTGCTGGTTTGGTTTAGTACAGGGATGGTATTATTGAGGTGGAAAGACTGTAATAACACAGAATTACTCAAATGTATTCCTATAACTCATCTGAAAATAGCCATGGTTGATTAAATTGCTTGAGATAGTAAAAGATCAACAACACAAAACAAGCCAAAATAATCACTAAAAGCAGTGATTATAATCCTGAATCTGAAGAGATGATATTGCTTTGGTCTGTATTTTCCTATTTTTAAAACAGGTTCGTTCACATAAACAAAACAGAAGAGGCTGTAGGTTGCTGGGGGGAAACTGACATAACAAGTTCAGTTGTTATTTACAGACTCACGTCCACATTTGTTGTGACGGGTACAAGAGTCACACTGAAGCAACAGAGTGGAGGAAAAAAAAAACTAGTTCCAAAGGCTGCAGCTTTTTTATATAGATCTTTTTCTTTAATAACACGTTTTTCAAATTGACTCTGATTATTAAATGTTGAAAACAGTCTACTGCTATCAGTCATAATGCTGCAAAAAGTTATAGTTCAGTTTTAGCTCTGGATGCAGGTTTTCTTTCTTTTCGGATATCTAAGCTGAGATGATGTGATTCCTCTGTTAGGTGAATGCATTGGATGGTTACAACCGCACGGCGCTGCACTACGCTGCAGAGAAGGATGAGAGCTGCGTGGAGCTGCTGTTAGAGTATGGGGCCCAGCCAAACGCACTGGACGGCAACAAGGACACTCCGCTCCACTGGGCTGCCTTTAAAGACAACCCGGAGTGCGTTAGGGCCCTGCTGGAGAGCGGGGCCTGCCCCAATGCCCGGGACTACAACAATGATACCCCTTTGAGCTGGGCAGCGATGAAGGGCAACCTGGAGAGTGTCAAAGTTCTATTAGACTACGGAGCCCAGGTCCATGTGACCAACCTGAAGGGTCAGACCCCTATATCCCGGCTGGTGGCTCTATTGGCCCGAGGCCTGGGCACCGAACAGGAGGAAGAGTGCCTGGAGCTGCTTTGCCGAGCAGCGGGGCGCTTTGAGATCAGACGTGCCGATGGCACTCTTCCCAAGGAGCTGAGCAAAGACCCCCAGCTGCTGGCCAGGCTGACTAACATGGTGGCACAGGCTCCGACGCTGCGCTCTCTAGCACGCTGCACCATACGCCAGAGTCTGGGAGTGCAGTTCCTTCCTACTGCAGTGAAAGAGCTTCCTCTACCTGAAACAGTTAAAGAATATCTACTACTGAGAGACTGATGACGGCGGCAGAACCTGCTGGCTGATGATTAAACAGCTCGTCACACTGCATTTGTTGGCAAGTCGATACAGATGCGTGTGTATTTTTTTTTTTCTTTTTTACACAACATCTGGATGAGGAGTGAATTAAGTGCAGACTATTAGAATTAATCAGCATTCTGTGAATGAGCAAGGCAGGACTTGCGCATTTCCAACTCAACAGCTGTTGGTTATTTTCAGTTAAGTCTGCTTGCAAAAGTAGAAAAGAAACAACCTCAAGCTAAACAAGAGATTTGCTCGACTTCATTGTGAGAATAAACTAAGTTTAGACAAGATGTTTAATCATTTAATTGCTTCAGATATATCCAAAAAACTATTTGTTGGAATATTTTAGTATGCTTATTATAACTAATTTTTGCTTCATTAGGTTTGTGAAAGAAACTGTTGGACTCTGATAGAAGATGGCTTGTTAAAAAATAAAATAATATATTGGGTAAGACTTTTAACGTGAGGGAGCATTTGTCAGATGGTTCATGTAGAGCACCTGGAAGAAGAATTCATAAATCTGTTTTTTTTTTTTTTTTTTTTTTTTTTACATTTTCCCACATCAGAACTGCAAACTATAATTTTTTTTAAATGATAAAAATCTACATAACAAAGGCCTTTTCTCGCATAAAACATTCAGTCACACCTCATGATTTTTTTATTTAAAATAATGCTCAAAAGTTCTCAGCCCGTTAGAAAAAGAGCTGCTCTGCTGGCGTCTACTGTCAATCTCTCACCATAAATTCTCAGTGGGATTTACGTGAGGACTTTGACTAGACCATTTTAGCTTCTGAGTATTTTACTGAGTCTTTGTGGCTCTGGCTTTATTATTTAGGTGTGAAATTAAAAGTAAAAGTTAAATGTCCTATGTGACTGTGACATCTGTACTTTAATTTTTTTTTAAACAATTGTGGCTCAGACTACATCTTTTCCCTGCTAAAGAGAGGCCTCTCTGCAGCATGATACTGCCACCGCCATGTTTTATTGTTTGTATGATATGGTAAGGCTGATTGTACTCAATAGCGTTCATATTTTTTCTGAAGACATACACTGATGCAAATTTCTAAATTACTGTTTACAGTTATCCTCTGCTTTGTTTTGATGCGTCACAAAGTCCTAGCAAAATGCACTCAAGTTTGTGGTTGTAATGTGTCAAAATGTGGAAAAGTTCTAGGGCAATTAAGTTTTTGCAAGGTAATGTGATAAAATAATGTGTATGATAGTTTAGGAGAGCGATCTGTCGGTGATATTTGCTAAGGATATTGTATTTAACACACCTGTTTTAAGCAGTAAATGATTGTGCCAGATGGGAACAATTGTATTTATGTAGAAGCAGCAGAGTCGTGCTGATTGTTAGTATCAGTTTCATTTAAGGTGCCAGGTAGTCAATGCAAATGCAAAATCACCATGTCCACTCTCATTAGTTGCTGTTTATTTTGGCTTTATTATTCTTTTTTTTTTTTTTTTTACAATGGAGGTTAAACTTGCAAAACGTCCTGTTTTCAAGGGTGCTCACTGGTTCCGAAACTAAAGTCACTTTGTTTTAAATTCTGTGTTTAAAGTGTTAATGATAAAAGAAAATAAAAAAAATGGCATGATGAGTAAGTTTTGTCTTTTTGTAAAACCACTAAATATGCTGGCAACAGCCTTGTTGGGGGTCTAACATCTGACCATTTTGTATCCTAATTTTGTTTGCCTGTTCTGTAAGTATATGTAAATTAACCCTGAGATCATGTATTGTGTATGCCTGCAAAGGTGCTTCTTTTCTTTGTTTGTATAATGCAAATAAATGTCTTTATTTGCCTGTCAACTCGTGTTATTGATTTTTTTTTTTTTTACCGTTTATAATACAAATGATCAAATCTTGACTAGCTCCCATTCATGACTCATACAGCACATTGCCCCAACTTTACTAGTAACTTAAATCTTGGACTATAAATATTTAACAGAAAGTTCTTAATATAATCCAAATTATTCACTCTTAGATTGGAACCACACCTATATCTATAAACATATTTTCCATTAAATAATTTGTAAAACACTAAAGCTGTCCTGAATATGTTCACTTAAGTTCTCAGGCACTCCACTAGGGGTCTCTCTCGCTCTGTTTTTAGATCCTATAACAGTGAATGAACAAATATCTGTGGATTGCATCAGCTGGCTCCTTTTTAATGTAGTACTTTTTTGATATGTGTAATGTTATTTAGCTAAGTGTTATATTAAATATGAATACGTTATTCCATAGTATATTTAAAGCTGAGTTCTGTCCCCAGGTTTTCTTCCAGTTTTAGAATATTTAGGTCAAACTATTTGCAGGGAAGATCAGTTGAATGGTCTATAGAGCATAGTTTACATTGCCCTTCAAACATTTCCAGCACTTAAGCAGACATTTAATAAATTAATTACATTATTTAATTTCCCTTTCAGATGAATAAAGTCATTTTGAATTTAAATTACTTAAAAGCAGTACAAACTTACCCATTAAGTACCTGTGATATTTGACCTTTGAAGGTTTTGGTTTACCGAAAGATAATCGCTGATGTACTCATTCTGGTTATATTCGTTAATGCCAGAGATGTAAGAGTTTGTCAGAACGACAATAATGTGTGCATACTTCCTTGCCAACATTTAATCAAAATATTTTTTTTGTTACCAACATTTAAACAAATTCATCGCTGATAAGTTCTAGGAAGGATGCTTAAGTGTCCAAGATGCACCTGATCAATTCTGAAAAGGCCTCCCCATTACCCCAAATTAATTCCAGGAAATACTATGAATGGAACCAATAACTTTACATAAAAGAATTTAGCTTTTTTTTGTTTTGTTTTTTGGTAAAAATCTTATGAAAGTTCTTGACATTAAGAATTAGGTTTTAAAAATGACCTAAAGTTAGTTTGGGAAAATGTAAGGAATGCAAACATCAAGTTCTAGTGAGTTCCAGGAAAATTCTGGAAAGGTTCTGGTAAAGTTCCAAAAAGGAATGTATATATGTATGTAAAGGACAAATAGTTACTGGGTAGTGTGTAGGTAGTTTAGTGTAATTTTGGGTTTGGAACTTTGTGAGTTTCCAAAAAAAGGGCTTTATATCAATATTTGTTGTGTGAGCAGCTGGAAATATCCTAAGAAATATATTCAATGATATAAGATCAAGTAAAAATAACTGAATGGGAAATGAAAAAATGCTGATAAAATTGCCATTGATCCGTAGAAAGTCGGATAAAAATACATTGATCAAGGAGCGACAAAATCGTTCATGTTCACATTTCTGAATGCGTTATTACAACTAGAGGTAAAATCTCGCGATAGTTCACAGTCAAGGGGAGTGTCAAATTCCAAGAGAGAGGAGAGGAGAGGGGAATCATAAACACTTAAAACTTAAAATATCATCAAAGAGATGTTCGGTTTTGTTACCCTTTGTTTGTTTTCTCTTAGTCTGACTCGTTTTGGTGTTTGTGACGGACATGAGTCCATGTTTGTGTTACTGTCAGAACTGTTAGTCGCAGCTTCAGCGACTCATTCGGACCCAGAGTCTCGCTGCTTTGCTCTAAAGTGTCATTCCGCTAACCAACTACGCGAGGGCTTTCAACCTCTATACTGTCTTTTAAAGTATATGGTTCGACTTTTGGCGTAGTTAGGCGCACCTTGGTTGTCAGAAAATAAATTGTTGGTATGGTTGTTATCAGTCATTTTCAATGTGCGCTCGGCCTGTTGATAACGCTAGCCATAGCAGCTAGCCGTTAGGCTTCGTTTTGGATGGGGGGGTACGAAAAGTTAGAAGAAGCGTTTAACCAATTAGAGTTAACTAGTGTCTTTTATTGACAGCCCCCAAAAGCAATAGGAGGATGAGATGCCAGCGAGTGACGCCCTGGGAACCAATAGCTGCATAGAAAAGGTGGTTTTGTTACGGGAAAAGGCGGGGCTAAAGCGGAGAGCTAATGGAGGCTAAAGAGAGAAACTTTTTCAAGAGAGTCAGCGCTGTCTGGAAAAGGGAACTGAAGTCTCTGTGGGTCTGTGGGAATTCACTTTGACTTTTTATGCTTTAACTACCCTGGGTCTCAGCATAAAAATAATAATAATAAAAAATTAAAAATGCAAATTGAAATTTGCGTTCGCAAAAGGAACCTGAAAGGAAAAATGAAGGTCTGAAGATGCAGTGACATCCTCAGCAATGCGATATGTAGTGTTGAACGGCCAACTATCAGTGTCCCCACGCATGTCAACACCTCAGTCAGGAATGTAGGTCATGTTATTGGCACAGTTGTACCTCATTCCATCACTTAGGAGAGGTGTTACCCTAAGGGGGGAAAAGAAATCTGTCTCTTTAGCTCACCCAATCATAGGTATTACATGTATCAATATGCATTTGTATTCTTTACCTTTTTAAAAACATTATTATTTTATAAGTTACATTTTCCAAGATTCAACATTTCCCATGCCTTATTATTTATTTTGCATTGTCCCCACATCTTGGCATGGATCTAGATTTTATTAGTTAGTTATGAGGTCTTTGGTTTAAGGTTGCATCTGTTCCCATTTACTAAATCTTGTGTTCCCATTGCTGACATAAATACATGTTGGCTCCTGAACACAGACAACCACACTAGATCTCTAGTGTCAGAAACTCCTAGACCTCGTCAGTGATGTGTTACAAATCCATGATGCAGTCCTTAAAATGCCTTAAAAGTGTTTTTATCCATTTAAACCTTTGGACATTTTGTCACATTAAATTGCAGACTTGCAATTTGTTGAGGTTTTTAAGTGGGATAAACAACAATTAGGGGATGGTTGTGAATTTTAAGGTATTATCGTTCATAAAATGTTTTGGAAATATGAATCTGAAAAATGTTGCATCGATAAAACCTCAAGTTTATGGAAGCACCGTTAGCTACACAGCTTTTTTGGCCTGTCTCTATTAGTTTTGCACATACAGTATAGAAATGTTCACGACAGGGGCATCAGTTTAAACCCTGATTTCTGTGCTTGGGCAAGACACTTCCCCTGCATTGCCTATGGATGGTGGCACCTGTGTACGGCAGCCTCATTTCTGTCAGTGAGCCCCAGGGCAGCATCATAGCTCACCACCATCAGCATGAGAGTGTGTGTGTGTGTGTGTGAATGGCTGAATGTAATGTAAATTGCCATTTACCATTTTCCCCTTTCTTCTTTGAATAAATAGTTTAAGCTCTGACAGACTGCATGGATACCTTTTGTAAATGTGGACTTTCAAGTGTTACCTGATGGCATAACAACAAATGATTATCCTGTCTTAAGTTTTTTTGCGGCTTTATAACACCATCCATCCAACAATTCACTATACCCAACTTCCCAGTACTTCTATAGAAAAGCATCTCCACAGTATGGTGCTCCCATCACCGTGTTTGTTTGTTTTTTTCCGCTTATAGCCTATGAAAAGTTGACTGAATAATTATAATGTTGACTGGAACATCTCATACTTTATAACTCTCCCATAAAGAATAGATATTCAGTATGCACACTTGATAACTGAGGTGTGTTCCTCTGCAGGAGCAGTAGAGTTGTGCAGCTCCTCCAGAGTTGCAATGTTTTTTTTCTAATTAATCCTCTTCTGGTGTCCTTAAACAAAACCCAGGTCTTAGTTGTGTTTTATTCTTTCCTTACTAGAATGATGGACAGATGCTTTGTAAGATGCCAAAGGTTGAGATCTGTTTTCTTTTTGCTCTAAAACTGCATAGTGAATACAATTACAATAACATGGACTCCATTACATTAGTCATATTTTGGGGCATTGGTATAATGGGGCTGAATGTGAACCACTCCACACTTTTCAGATCAACCCATAAGAAACAACTTAATTCTCTCTTTCCTTAGTTCTTTTTTTTTTTTTGTTCTTTGGGGTCTTCCCTGTCCTCAGGCAATTTAAGCCTCAGAGTCCAGCGTCATGGCTGCAGTGTGCGCTATTAATACAGTTTGTTTAGTCAGTTTCCTAGCAAGCTGCATCAAACACTGGCTGGCTGTGGCTGATTATAGCTGAGGCTTGTTCCCCTACACCTGCTGAGTTTGAGAAACCAAAAGTTAATGTGGGAAGGCAGCAGGTAAATGAGGAGGAGAGGAGTTTTGTCAGTTGGGATAAAAAGACATGTGGAGTTAATGTTAAGACCTGTAATGGGTATTGATGATGTAAATTAACAGAGCTGTAACTGGGGGGGGGGGGTATAGCGCTCATCTCCAAGGTGATTCCACAATTCCCACACATTTATTACAGCATTTTTTTAGATATGCATAGGTATAAATATTGGTGCAATTTTTGCAGCTGTAATTTTAAAGAATTAATTTATTGCAAAGTGTGGTATTATGTATAAAAGTGTTTTAATGAGGCCTAAATTCTGGGCTTTATCCAGATTCTTCAAAGTGGTGAGGACTTTTTAGCCTAATTGGATTTGTGTCAGCGCACACCCTGAACAGTGCTGTCTAAGACTACGTTCACACTGCAGTCCTTGATGCTCAATTCCGATTTTCTTTTGCATTGTTCCAAATATATGCGACTTGTATGTGATCTCCTGTGTGAGCTGCAGTCATACAACGCAAGTCTCCCGCCTGCACAGTAGAGGACGCAGTGACGTCACAGGCCAGCAGAGGTGTCAAGTAACCAAGTACAAATACTTTGTTACGGTACATAAGTACACTTTTTACGTATCTATACTTTATTCCATTACTTATTTTTCTTACTACTTCTGACTTCTACTCATTACATGTTCACACAAGTATCTGTACTTTCTATTCCTTACATTTTTTAAAACAAACGTTACTCGCTACTTTTGGCTTCGGTTTAAT